AAAGACAAAGAAGCCAGACACCAGCAGACCCTGGTGCTGGAGTGAACTAAGAGACAGGCAACTTCTGGAGCTTCTTGTGCAGAGGAAGAAGTAATGGCAGCTCTGTGACTAGCTAGAAACCTCTGGACACATTCCAGAGTCCACCCAGGAGAAGGGGAAGAGAAGTCAAAGGTCCGGAATCATTCACTCAGAAACTAAGCAGGTGGATTCACCTCAAGATGGAGTCCGCTCTGTCCACACACTGAGAATTTACCCAAGCTTATACAAACAAGATTCAATGGCCCACCGATTCCATGGGCTCTGAGAACCCCACACTGAATGAATAAGAAGAAAATCATATACAGCAGAGTTTAAAAAAAAAAAAAAAAAAGCAATGAGGAAAACATTCTAATGTGGCTAGAAAGAAAAAAGACAAAGGAACAGTAAGACTTACAGCTGACTTCTCAACAGAAACAAGGGACACTGGAAGACAGCGTAATTATATCTTTAAAGTGCTGCAAATGGAAGGGCACGTACATTTCCTTCTATTCTTTCAATAAGGAATGTTAATGCATTACTGAGCCATCTTCTACCATGTAAAGGAGAATACAGCTTAGCAACAATACAGGAGAGCCCATGTCCTTGACACTGGCGAGGTACCACTCCATGCTTGGTCTATTACCTGGTGTAGTATGTTTTGAGAAGAGAGAGATGCCTTCTGTTTTATTTAAAAAGGAATAAAAAGAATCCAGAGTTAACTTGAAGAAACTACTAACTGCAAAAGATGGGACAATTTAGAGATCAATAAGGATAACCACAATGGATTTAAACACATAAAATATATTTAAAACCATGGGTTCATAGATTTAAAAAAAGAGAGAGAGAGAACTCATTGTTAAGCTCTGGAAGATGCTAGGGAACCAATTCATTATTCTGAATATTATTAAAAGTATCTTCCCACTGAAAGTGGTTTGGCTCAGTGGATGGAGCATCGATCTGCAGACTGAAGGGTCCCAGGTCCAATTCCGGTCAAGGGCATGTACATTGGTTGCGGGCACATCCCTGGTGTGCGGGAGGCAGCTGGTTGATGTTTCTCTCTCATCGACGTTTCTAGTTCTCTAACTCTCTCCATTCATCTCTGTGGAAAATCAATAAAATTTATTTTAAAAAAATAAATAAATAAAAATAAAATAAAATTATCCTCCCTTTCCTGTACAAGCTATACCTCATTGTAATGAAACGGTTGAAAGAAAAGTCATTCTTAATAGAATTCCAGCAAATAAGTAAAGAACAATGGTAGAATTAGAAGGTCACTATTTTGTAACCTCTGATGAATCTAGGATAGCTGCTAAAACTATTAATGGTGAAGCTGATAGGGAACTTTACAATAGATGGATCTGACAGTATCTGAACTCCATGATCAATCTTAACAAAAAACAGACAACCAGACATTTTCTGCCTCCTGATGAGATGCAATAGGATGCATACTAAATACCTATGTAATATTCTTGCCCAAAACTCAAATCTCCAACTGATTAAGACTATATCTAACTACTTATTTACAAGAAAAGAGGAGATATAAGACATAGTAAATAATACCAGAAAATAACACAATCAGAAAATGACAGAATATAGGGAGGGGATGTGTGGGAGGGAGGGAGGGGGGAAAAATCAATAAAATATGTAAAAAAAAAAAAAAAAATTAAAATAAAAAAATAAAAAATAAAAAAAATAAAAACCTGAAAGAAAAAAAAAGAAAATGACAGAATATAGATAGGATACTCTACAAGACAAACACAATTTCTTAAACAAATAAACAGTAAGATTAAAAAAAAGACAGCAAGAGCAAAAAGAAGGAGAGAAGTTATGTATTAAGAGAAATTTAAGAGATAATCAACCAAATATAATGTGTGGACTTTGCCTGGATTCTAATTTGAACCAACTGTAAAATCCTACATAATAAAAGGGTAATATGCAAATCAACCGAACAGCAGAAAGACTGATAGCTATGATGTGCACTGACCACCAGGGGGCAGATGCTCAACACAGGAGCTGCCCCAGCTCTGCAGGACTTGATAGCCAGATCGCAGACTTGATCACCAGATCAGAGCCTGCTGGCCAACCTCTTGGTCCCTTCCCCTCCCCCTGCCCACCCACTCCCCCCTCCCCCTCCTGGCCGGCAGGCTCCAATTTGGGCGATTGGAGAACCAGGGCCAGGTGATAGAGGGGGCCGGTGCCGGCTTCCAGCAGCCAGGGGAAATAGCCCTGGTTGCAGGCCAGGACAAGGGTCTGTGCCCATGCACAAATTTTGTGTGCCAGGCCTTTAGTATATAAATACACACACACACGCACACACACACACACACACACACACACACATATATATATATATGAAACAACTGGGGATATCTGAATGCTAATTGGATATTTTATAATATTAAGGACTAACAATACTTAGATGTGATATTTTATTGTATTAAAAGGGTCCTTATAGTTTAGACATATATACTGCTGTGTTTACAGATGAAATGGTATGACAACTGGGATTTGCTTCAAAATAAGCTAGAGGGGGCAGTAGATATATAAATGAAACAACATAGGTATGTGTTAACCTTTCAAGCCAAGTAATAGATCCATGGGAGTTCCTCAGTCCCTACACTTGCACATGTTTTAAATTTTAGACAATAACATTTTTAGAACTCCGGCAAGGGGGCAGGAAGGCCTTGTATGTCATGCTTTAGAGTTTGGCCTGATCACATTTTACCAAGTCAATTTAAAGGAATTTATACCTGACAAGATTTGAAATAAACTCTGTATAGAGCCTGTGGAGAGAAAGTAAGGTGTACTCCTGGGAGATTGGTCTGGTACGCAAAATGAATTGTGGAGGAGGGAGATCAAAGTCCAGGAGTGCTGATAAGGGGCTGCTGCTAAGTATTTCTGGCATCCAGATTACAGTGAGTGCAATGGGAGAGAGTACTGGCTACATAAGATAAAAGTAGACCTTGAGTCAGTAGGACCTTGGTAATACTGTGAGAGACAGAGAAGTTAAAGTGACAGGCTGATTTAAGGAGAGGAAGGGAAAGAAATTAGGAACTCGTTAACATGTTAAATCTGGGGTGACAGAATAGGAAAGTATTTCTGAGCCTCTCTGTGGTCAGAAAATCTACTGCAGCCTTTTGAACAAATGGTAGAGAACACCATGATGAAGAGTGCTGTGCTAGGATCAGAAGTTTGAATTCTATTAGTGACCCTGACAGCAGGCATATCTATAATTGCGAGCAAGTCATGCTGAATCTCATAAGTATCATCATAAAATAGGGGAACTAGACACTAGAAAGTATCTGTAGTGCCTTTCAAATTTAACATTCTATAGTGAATATGCTCAGTGATATTATTTACAAGTGTATTTTTAAATTCATTCAACATATATTTTAGCATTGTCTTACAAAACTAGAGGCCCAGTGCACAAAAATTCCTGCACTGGGGGGGTTTGGAGGGGATTCAGCCTGCGCCCTTTCATAGTCCGGGACCCCTCAGGGGATGTCCACTTGCCACCTAATTAATTCCCCATTCTCCGGGGAATCAGGCCTAAGCTGGCAGTCAGACATCCCTCTGGCAGCCCTCGAGCCCTCAGGAGATGTCCAACTTAAGGGGAGCGGGCCTAAGCCACAGTTGGACATCCTTAGTGCTGCTGAGGAGGGAGAGGCTCTTGCCACCATCGCTGCGCTCACAGCCATCAGCCCATGTGGCTGAATGGAGCTCCCTCTTGCGTTGACCATCTGCCCCCTGGTGGTCAGTGCACATCATAGTGACCAGTCGTTCCCAGTTGTTCGGCCATTAGGATCAATTTGTATACAGTATTACCCTTTTGTTATATAGGATACTATATTGGGCACTGTTTACAAATGGAAACAAGAGTTTAACTCTTATGCATAGGAAAAGACAAGAAATACATATTTGAAATCACCAATACAGGAATGACAGTTTGAGGTCATGAGAATGAATGAGCTCATTGAGAAAGCATATTGAAGAGCAGAAGAATAAGAACTGAGCCTTGAAGAAAGCTGGTAGCTGGGGATAGAGGGAATAAAGAGGACCCAGTGAAGAAAAGAGAATAATCAGAAAAAAAGGAGAGAAACAAGTTATACAAGTGATATCAAGGCCAAAAAAACCAGAGTGAATTTTAAGAAACAAAAGCCCAGGCAAACACAAGAGCTAAGAAAGAACTTTTAGATTTGCTAATAAGAAGGTCTCAGACAATTTTAAAGAAATTTATTTTGGATAATGGTAGGACCAAAAATTGAGAAATAAGAAATATGGAAGAAACAAATATACATAGTCCCATACTTTCTTTGGGAACATCTATATATATATAAGCTAAGTGGCCAGAACAATAGAAACAACCAGTTGCTATGACGCTCACTGAAGCCGGCCAACTGGCCCGATGGGGGCGGGCCAACCTCCCGCAGCCCTTCCCCCACCCCTGGCCGGCCAGCCCCAATAGGTCCATATTGGGGTGGGCTGGCTGGAACCCACCTGTGCATCCTACCGGGCCTCTACTATATACATAAATCCTAAAACACTTATCAGTCTCAGATACTATGAAAAGTGAATTACCCAATGGAGCTCACCAACTGTCAACCTCACTGTTCAGAACCAGGATCTCTTGGGTTCACAGTTGCATTTGTTATATTGTCCTTTACTCCCACTTGCAAAACACAATCATACTGAATCGTAAAGAGGATGAATACCTCATAAGAAACACATAAGAATAAAATCAAGAAGGAAAAACAATGCCCTAGCTGTTTTGGCTCAGTGGATAGAGCATTGGCCTGTGGACTGAAGGATCCCAGGTTCAATTCCAGTCAAGGGCACATGCCTGGGTTGTGGGCTCGGCCCAAGGTGCAGGAGGCAGCCAATCAATGATTCCTTCTCATCATTGATGTTTCTATCTCTCTCTTCCTCTATAATAGAAATTAAAATATTTTTTTAAAAAAAAGAAAGAAAAACCAATTACTCACAATACTCCTTCACCTCTTTGTTCTCCAATAACTACTTGCACCACCATTTTATACCGATCAAATCCCATGGCTAGAAAGGAGAAAAAAAAAAAAAAGAAAAAAAAAGATGTTATCTGTAAGCAAATATATGGTAAAATTACTTAATGAGAGCAAATTTGCCTGGAAAATAACATAATCATTCAGTCTACAAACACTGAGTATGACGATTAGCTTGGGAGTCAGGAACAAATCCTATCTATAAGCTTAGTATGTATGTAACCTTATACAAGCAAAATCCTGAAAATTCTCACTAACAACAAATCTGGAGAGAAGAAAACTAAATGGATATGTTTATCTTCCCTGCTTTCTGACCAGGAAATAGTGGAAAGAGTAACAACAGTAACAACAACAAAAATGTGAAATGGGCAAAGTTGAAACAGAGCTCTCTTTAATGAAAATAAAAGCTTCAGGATTGCCAAAACCGGTTTGGCTCAGTGGTAGAGCGTTGGTCTGCGGACTGAAAGGTCCCAGGTTCGATTCCGGTTAAGGGAATGTACTTGAGTTGCGGGCACATCCCCAGTAGGGGGTGTACAAGAGGCAGCTGGTCGATGTTTCTCTCTCATCGACGTTTCTAGCTCTCTATCCCTCTCCCTTTCTCTCTGTAAAAAAAATCAATAAAATATTTAAAAAAAAAAAAAAAAAAAAAAAAAGCTTCAGGATTATATAGTAAACTAGAGGCCCAGTGCATGAAAATCGTGCACTGGAGGTGGAGAGGTCCCTCTCAGCCCAGCATGCACCCTCTCGCAATCCGGGAGCCCTCGTGGGGGGGTGTCCAACTGGGGAGCGGGCCTAAGCCATCAGTCAGACGTCCTTAGCGCTCTGCAGAGGCGAGAGAGCTCCCACCACCACTGCTGCAGTGAGCCCAGCTTCTGGCTGAGTGGTGCTCCCACTGTGGGAGGGCACTGATCAGCAGGGGGAAGCATCTGTCCCCTGGTGGTCAGTATGCATGATAGCAGTTCAGTCAATTTGCATATTAGCCTTTTGTTATATAGGATTAGGGTAGCAATCTGGACACAACAGGTACCCTTCCATGTGGGGCATGAACCATAATTAAAGATATTTAATAAAATCTCAGAAGATAGAGCCCAAGTTATTTTTAAAAAAAACACTGCACATAGGCTCTGGTGAGGTACCTCAGTTGGTTGGAGCATGGTCCCATGTATCAAAAAAGTTGCAGGTTCAATCCCAGGTTGAGGAGTGTACAGGAGGCAACCCATTGATGTTTCTTTCTCTCCAACCAGGCAAAGGAGCATGTATTTTTAACAATAATTTTAACAATGAATTTTCATTAAAATTTAAAGAAAATGCTAACATACTAACAATTAATGTGGGTGATGAAAATACATAGAATATTTTCTTTATAGTTTTCTATATTTTTTCATTTCTAAAAAATGAAGACATTAAAAAATTAAGACACCAAAATATTAAATAGTATTTACCTTTAGGTAATTAAAATTTATATACTTAAAAAAAATTGTCTATACAGTAGTCCCCGCTTATCTGCAGTTTTTCTTCCCTCCATTTCAATTTCCTTGTCAATCGCAGTAGAAAATATCAAATGGAAAATTCCAGAAATACATCACTTATAAGTTTGAAATTGTGGACTGAATAGCACGATGAAATCACACACTGACCCATTCTGTCCCACCCAGGCCTGGAATCATTCCTTTGTCTATATACTGTACTCAACACCCATCCTTTAGTCACTTAGCAGCCGTCTCAGTTATCAGATCCACTGTATAGGTATTGCAGTGCTTGTGTTCAAGTAACATATTTTACTTAAATAATGGCCCCAAAGCACAAGAGTAGTGATGCTGCAATTCAGATATGCCAAAGAGAAGCCGTAAAGTGCTTCCTTTAAATGAAAAGGTGAGTGCACCACAGAAAGATTTTTTTGGGAGAAAGATACCACATAACTTTCTATTCACATAACTTTCATTATAATATATTGTTATAAACATTCTGTTTTTTTCCATGTCCTTCTTTTATTATTCTGTAAAAGATAACAAAATATACAGAACAAAGTTTTCCCTTTTTAACTAATATAACCATTTTCTTTTATGTTATTGTTGTTAATCTTATAGTGCCTAATTTATAAGTTAAACTTTATCACAAGTATATATGTACAGGAAAAAACATGGTATAGGTTCGGGACTATCATTGATTTCAAGCATCCACAGAGGATCTTAGAACATATCCCCACAAATAAGGGCAGACTACTGTATTGTCCAAGTTAATTATAATGAAAATGTATACTTATTACAAAGGTATTTCTTCTTTAAAAAAGTGATATTCAAAAAATAATAATAATAAAAAATAAAAAGGATAGCTAGAGAGGGCTTTCCAGATGGTATAAACATTTTTTTATTTTTTTTAATATATTTTTATTGAAAAATAAATAAATAAAATACATTTTTACTGGTTTCAGAGAAAAAGGAAAAAGGAGAGAGAGGAGATAGAAACATCAATGATGAGAGAGAATCATTGATAGGCTGCCTCCTGCACATCCCACACTGGGGGATCACAAACTGGCCATGTGCCCTGACCCAGAAACAAAATATGACCTCCTAGTTCATAGGTCAACTCTCAACCACTGACCAACACTTGCCAGGGTCAGACGGTATAACATTATTAATAAGAAAGAAACATTAAAAAAAAAATCAACAACACACAAACGGTTAGGTAAAGCAAAAGATTTGCTCTGCACATGTAGTTTGACAGCAGTAGAGGGTTGAGTAGGCTGAGGAATCGATATCTTGGTGGGACAATCAACCAAGAATTACTAGTATTGGGGAAAGGACCCTATATTTTCTGCATATTTGGATTTACTGAATAGTGATTCCATACAATGTCTTATTTCACATCTTTACTCTTTCCCATCACCTTTAAAAACCACATGAGTAAAAGCTACCATATAGTTGAGGAGAAAATTTAAATTAAAGAAAAATGTGTCTTTAATAGAATCCATAGCTTATGTCCCTTGTTTAAAGATGGGGAAGGAGACAAAGGGATAAAACTGAATGTTTTAAGGGAACATGTCATTTCTAATGACGACCATTCTTACTTTTTAACTTATCTTTAATCGTTTCTGACAGGCGCTTTGTGAGCGAAGGTGTTTCCTCCGGAGAGTACTCGGCGGTCGCCAGCTCCTCCTTGAGCACCGCATGGATGCATTCTTTAACCACAGAGGGTCTGAACCTGAGGGAGACAGTCAGACATCCCATTGGTCACTCCAAACCCTACTTCCCTTCCCGGCTCAGCTTCCTCTAGCTCTCCGTCACTGGAACCATTTCATCCTTTTCTATATTGTTTATTATAGAAGTAACAAAAACAAATAAAGAAAATAAGTCGTATCTCTCCCCTGAACTCCAGACCACATCTTCCATAACAACACACAAACGGTTAGGTAAAGTTGAGTTGCTCCTGCATATTCCATCTGGATATGCAGGAGCAACTCAACTTTAAACATCCAACACTGAGCTTCCAACGGTCTCCTTCCCCCAAAACCAGGTCCTGCTGCCGTCACCTCCATTCTTCCAGTTGCTGAAGCCACAGCATTTGGTGTCAGTCTTGTTGCCTTTTTCTCTCACAGCCCATATCCCATTAATAGGCAAATCTTATCAGTTCTACCTTCAAAATAACCTAAAATTCATTCTCACCAAATGACTGCCACCGCCTTGCTCCAAGCTGCCATTACTTCTTGCCTGGACTACAAGGACCTCCTAACAAGTCTCTCTGTGCCTGCCTTTGTCCCCCAATCCTGTTCTCAACATAGCAATTGGACTGGTCCTGTTAAACTATGTGCCAAACCATGGCACTCCTCCATGCCAAACACCCCACATAGTTCCGACATCGGAGAAAAAGTGATATCCTAATTGTGACTTGCAAGGTCCCATAAGATCTACCCTTCCAAACTCTCTGACCTTGTTTCCTACTCCTTTCCTCCTAGTTCTCTCCACTGGCCTTCACCGTGTTCTTTAGCCACACCGGGCATGCAAACTTCGGAGCTACTGTACTGCCTGGACTTTAATTCCTCCTTTTATGCATAGCTAACTCCCTCACTTCTTTCAAGTCTTTACTCAAAAGTCACTTTTCTGCCCAGCTGGCATGGCTCAGTGGTTGAACGTTGACCTATGAACCAGGAGGTCAAGGGTCAATTCCTGGTCAGGGGACATGTCCTGGTTGTGAGCTTGATCCCCAGCGGGGGGCATGTAGGAAGCAACTGATCAAGGATTCTCTCTCATCATTGATGTTTCTATCTCCCCCTTCCTCTCTGAAACCAATAAAAAAAATATTTTTTTGAAAGTCATTTTTCCTAGTTACCCTAAAACTTCAAACCACCCTTTTACTATATCAATTTATACCTCCCTTCCTGGTATTTATTACTATCTGATACCCTATGTGGTTCATTTATTTATCTTATTTTTGTCCTTTTACCTAGATAGACTATAAGTTCCATGAGGGGAGAGCAGCACCCAGCACACAGTAGACAATAATTTTTTTAAAGAAATGGATTATTGAAGAAAGGGAGACAAAAGGAAAAAAAAAAATCTTCCCTAATTCCACCACCCTAACAATGCCATTAGCATTTTATTTGTATTTATCATTCTATATAATACAACCCTATTATGCTAAGTGCCTGACAGTCCATTCGACTGTTCAACCAGCCGCTATGACACACACTGACCACCGGGGGGCAGACACTCTGACTAGTAGTTTAACTTGCTGCTGGGGTCTGGCCAATTGGAACTGGATATGTCCTGGAGTCCTCCCTCTATCCCTCCACCGCCCCATCATGCACCAGTAGTGTCCCTCAGCCTGGCCTGCGCCCTCTCTCAATCTGGGACATGCAATCTGGGACCACTCGGGGGATGCCCAATCCCCACAGGCCAGGCCAAAGAATCCCACAGGTGCATGGTACCGGGCCTCCAGAATATTATAACACTAAGTTCCTTTTCTGGGCTTGATCGTCTATGGCTGATTTGTCTCTCATGTGCCAAGTCACTAGGATGTTTTGTTATGTGGCTTAATAATTGGTAGTACTAATGACCCCTATTACATTTTAACAGTATTTTCTTTGGTCTTCTGCCTGCTTACTCTCGCAGATGAACTTTGGAATCATTGACAAATTTACAGGATTTGATCTGTTCAAAATGTGGTCTCCCTATTAACAAACGTACTCTATCTGGCTCATCTCCTAAGCCTTTTCCATTCTCAGTAAATGTTGAAAGTCTTCAAACAAGTCAGAAATAATTTCATAGGATTATTCTTAGATATATTTTTTGTGAATCCTGTTCTGCACTGTTTTACAGCAGAAACCCTGGTAAATGTCATTCTATGCCTTTAGAATACTTCACAAAAACAACTAAACATCTTTTTTTTTTTTAATATCCATTCTACCCACCGTTTATCATATTATAACCAAAGTTCCTGGCTCCCAATGTTTGCCAAGCATTTGATTCAGCACTCTGATTTTAAGCAACAGAGAAAGAGCTTGGGAAATCTTTCACTTTAATTTTTTTCCCCACCCTGTGAAAATAAAGTTAGGATGTGTCCTACAGGCCTAGCAGAATAGCAGACTGTCCTCTGCACCAGACTGTATGCCTTGGGCCTCCTCCACACACACACATTCAGGTCCCCTGCCCTGCAGAGAAGTAAGCTATTCTGGCACGCGTATGCACACGGTAGACTTCAAAATTCGGCTGAATGACATTCGACGCGAGCCGCTTGTTTCCTGCTCTCCCCTCTTTTCCATCCATCTCCTTTTCCTGCGTTCACGTCCTGGGGCTCCAAGATTCTAGAGTAAGGTGACCAGATCATCCAGGTGTTGGCTGGACTTTGGATTTGGATTTCTAACAAATTTCTAAAATTTGGATTTCTAACAAATTTTTCCTGAGTCCCGATTTTTAGTTGGTCCGAAGGTTGTGGGTTATTGTTAAGCTGATTAACAAAAAAGTCCAGATTTTTGAAAGATTGGAAACATTGGAAAGATTCTTTCCAAAAATCGGGACTTTTTTAAAACGCCGCGGGACGCGGGAAAAATTGTTAGGAAATCAGGACTGTCCCGCCAACACCTAGACGATCTGGTCACCTTCCTCTATCAACCACGCCCACTGTGCTGCAGAGCTCTAACACTGCAACCGCAGGCCGGGTCCTCTGCTGCCCCCTGCAGCTGAAGCCAAGAACAACAGCCCCCAGCTCCTCCCTCTCCAGCCCCGCCAACCCCGCCCCCTCTCCCCGGATCCTTCCCGGCTCCCAGCGCGCCCAGCTGCCCGGCCCCGCAGGCCCCGGGCCGCCCCGCCGCGGCGCGGCCTGTACCCGCCTTTGCTGGAACACGGGCCGCAGGATGTAGGTGTTCTCGGGCTTCCCAGAGATCTTGTCAGTGTCCAGCGTCCCGTCCGTCACGGACATGGACATGGACAAGGACGCGCCCCTCCCCGAAGCCATGGCCGGGACTCCTGGGCCCGCCGGCTGTCGCGATGAGGAAGGAACTGCTGCCCGCGGCGCGGAGCCGCGCAACGGTCGCCACGGCAACAGGCCCGCCCCCGGCGGCGGCGTGCGGAGGCTGCGCGCGCACACTCCGCCGAGCGGCTCGCCCTCCGAGCAGCCGCGCGGCCGGGCAGAGCGGGTGGGGATCGCGGGACGGCAATTTCGGCCCACATTGATGTCGTTCTGCCTTGGTTTGCAGGATGTTTTGTGGCGCCTTATCTCTTATGAACCGCCTCACCGTCTTAAGAAATTGACACGTGCAGGAGGCAGCTGGTCAATGATTCTCTCTCATTGGTGATGTTTCTACCGTATCTCTCTCCCTCTCCCTTCTCTGAAATCAATAAAAATATCTTTAAAATAAATTGACATGAAACCTGAGACCCACAGAGGTCCAAAGATACACACCTAGTGAGCATTAGACCCCCCTCCCCCCCCCCCCCAAAGCCTTCAAATCTGACCTACGGGTCAAATCCCATGTTGCTGCCCGTGTGGCTCAGTGGTTTGAGTCTCGACCTAAAGAGCCAGCAGGTCTCCGTGGAGCTCCCAGGCAGGGCACTGAAAGGGTGAAAGAGAATAAACTGGGGCAGAGACAAACGTGTTGTGCTTAGCAGAGATCTTGCAGAAAGCTTGCAGCCTTGAGCACAGCACAGCTCAGATAAACCAGGAGACACTTGGCATGGGAGAAACCAAGGACCGGCCGAACCCTTAGGTCAGCAGAGCTGCTTTCAGCCTGCAAAAATTAATAAAAACCTCTTTCCCTGCTCTCTTTGCAGATGCCTTTCTCAGCCTCAGCCCACCTGTACCCAGGTGATCAAGAATAAAGTCTCTTTTGATACATTATGGCCTCATATCATAGGTGGACAACCCCAGCCCACTCTGAACCTTTCAGGCAGAACCGGAGTTGCAGCCTTGGTCCCCAGTAGGGACGACAGTGCAGGAGGCAGACGATCAATGATTCTCTCTCATCAGTGATGTTTTGATCTCTCTCCCTCTCCCTTCTTCTCTGAAATCAATAAAAATAATTTAAAAATAAATTGACATGTAACTTGAGACCCACAGAGGTCCAAAGATACACAGCTAGTGAGCATTAGACCCCCCTCCCCCCCACACACACACACACCGACTCTCACGCCTTCAAATCATGACCTGCAGGTCAAATCCAGACCTCAACCTATTTTGAATGTGTGAACAGCTTTTATATTTTTTAATGATTTTTTTAAACCAAAAGAATAGATTATGACGGGTGGGAATTAAAATTTCAGTATCTAGAAGTAAAGTTTTATTGTAACACTAGTGTCCCAGTGCACGGATTCATGCACATTGGAAGGAAGTGAATTACTCCCTCAGGTGCAGGGACTAATGTAGGTGGTCCCAGGTGGTGGCCAGTGGGGTGGGGCTGGGGTTGGACAAGCCCTGGAGCCAACCTCCCACGCTCCCTCCACATGTGGCCGGCACAAAGGGCATCTGTGAAGTGAGTGGGCTCCCTGCAGCAGATGGGGTTCCTCAGCCTGGCCTGTGGGATCAGGCCAAAACTGACTCTCTGACATCCCCCTAGAGATCCCAGAGTGCAAGAGGAATCGGGCTCCCTCCTCTCTGGTTCAGGGTGAGTCACCAGAGAACTGCTGCTGCCAAGTGACCGCAGCTCAGCAGCTCCTGCACTGAACATCTGCCCCCTGTGGTCAGTGTGCGTCACAGCTACTGGCTGGTCTGATGGCTGCTTGGCCTTTTATATATATAGATAATCTTGCTCACGCTGCCTTTGCTCTATTTGGCAGAATTGAGCAGTTGCAAGAGGCCTTATGGCTCTGAGTCTAAAATGTTATCTGGCCCTTTAAGAAGCAGTTTTCCGTGTCCTGCTATAATCCGTAACTCCCAACCTGCAGTTTCCTCTACCCGCCCACACCCCTGCTCCAGCCCAGCAGTCAGAAGGAGCACTCTTGGGATGCATTTCCTGCTACTAAGCACCAGTCTCAGTCTCTGGTCCTATTCTACAAGGCTGTGGTATCCTGGCCTCTGCCAGCTTCAAAAACAAAGAAATCCCCCCAGTATTCATCCAGGCTTCCCTGGGTAATACTTAACCTATTGATTGGACCAACAAATTATAAAACTTGCTACTATAAGACGAAAGGGTTAGTTTCTATAAAAGTATATATTGGAAGCCAAGATCCACTAAAAAACAACTCATTTTACTATAATATTCCAGGTTTTGTTGTATTGTACAAAGTGTTTTCTTCCTTTCTTTCTTTCTTCCTTCCTTCCTTCTTCCTTCCTTCCTTCTTCCTTCCTTCCTTCTTCCTTCCTTCCTTCCTTCCTTCCTTCCTTCCTTCCTTCCTTTCTTCCTTCTCCTTCCTCCTCTCTTTCTTTCTTTCTTTCTTCTTTCTTTCTTTCTTTCTTTCTTTCTTTCTTTCTTTCTCTCTCTCTCTCTCTCTCTCTCTCTCTCTCTCTCTCTCTCTCTCTCTCTCTCTCTCTCTCTTTCTTTCTTTCAAGAAATTGACAGTATTGCCTCCATTTATCTCCCAGACTCCAGTAAACTCACCTCACCCTCACCTTCCCAGCCCACCTTTCACATTGTCCCCAGAATGACTTTCTTTTGCCAGTTTTATGCTTGAAATCTTCTGATGGCTCCCTATGGCTTCCTTGCTTGCAGATAAGTCCCTTCCTGACCTGGCTGGGTTGCTGAGCTGCCTCCTGGCACAGGCCAGCAGGGGCCACGGGGCCTGGTGTGCACCTCGCACCAGCTCCATGCTGCCTCAGTCACCCTCTTCGCTGCCTCCTCGTTCAGTAGCACCAGCTCCATCTCTGACCGGCGTCACCCATTCCCAGGTCAGCCTGGTCCCCGCCTGGCACAGAAGCTCAATGTCTCCTAGGGCAGGTAGTATGTTTTTGCCTTGTGGTCTCACTAGCCTTAAGAAATCATACCCCTAAGATGCAGACTTTCCTCACCTTTAGTGAGTTCTTCAGCTGTGTTTCTCTCACCCTATCCATTACAGTTCAACTAAAAACGCAGGAGATCTGGTACAAAATTCAATTCAATACACATTTTATTATTCCATCTGTGTTAGGTGCTGGAGATACAAAAATGAATAAGACCCAGGCCTTGTCCTAAGGAGTGAACAGATTTTGCTGGGGAGCAGAAAATAAATTTAATTATTTCTAAAAGGGGGGGGGGGTGTCTTGCTATAATAGAAACCAGAGGGGTAGCTTATTTTAAAAACTGGACCTCCTCTTCTCTGAGCAGGAATACAAACATCTTCATTCCAGAATGACATTTAAAAAGGCACATACAAGGTAAGGGACAGACAATTTTCTTGTTAATAAAATGTTTATTTATGTCCAGATAAACGGATAAGCATCAGCCTCTCTGCCTGAAACCTGGCTGGAAGCCAAGGCAAGAGCCAGATGTAGATTTTGTGTGGAGAGAAACAAGACGAAAGCCCACTCAGAGTGTGAGATGGTCCTGGGATGTGGGTAGAAGGAAGGGGATGCTGGTGGCCTCTGGAATCTCAAAGAGGGCAGCCAATAGCCTTGTGTGGAAGGCCATGGGGCCCATGGAAGAATGAGTGCAGAATTCCCTCTCCTCTCTTCTCCTCTTCTCTCTTTTCCTCTTCTCTCCTCTTCTCTATTCTCCTCTTCTCTCTTCTCCTCTCCTCTCCTCTCTTCTTCTTTCCCTCTTGCCTCTCCAAGGCCCTTCTCCCTCTCCCTACAGCCCTTCACAATTCAATTGATTGTGAATTGTGAAGGGAGAAGGTAAGTGAGCCATCCTAGCTCATCTCTAGATTCGAGGATATTGCATCCCTCACCTGGTGGGATTGGAGGAAGAGTTGTCAGCTTTACGCCCAAACTTCTGTTTTTGACCTTATGCACTTTGAGATCTATGAGTGCCAGCAGCCGGCGAGGGGAAGATCCACCCAGAAAGTGCAGTATCTGAAGGAGAGAATGATTGGCCTAGCTGAGACAGAGATTGGAGACATTGTCCTCTGAAGTCCTTTCAAGGTCTAACGAACATCCATCTGAGGCTGCTGACAGGATGGAGGAGGCTCAGGCAAGAGCCAACTCTCCACTGTGAATTATCTTGGCGCCAAAGACTGATCTCTCTCCCCTCGGTGTCCTGCTGAGCCATCACAGCAGAGCTGAGCCAGGATGGGGATTATGAACCTGGCACGTATGTGTGTGCGTGTGCATGTATGTGTGTACGTGTGCCTAACCTGTCCAAAACTAGACATAAATTATATTTACATTCTCCATTAATTGCCAAAACCGGTTTGGCTCAGTGGATAGAGCATCCGTCTGCGGACTGGAAGGTCCCAGGTTTGATTCCGGTCAAGAGCATGTACATTGGCTGCGGGCACATCCCCGGTGTGGGGTGTGCAGGAGGCAGCTGGTCGATGTCTCTCTTTCATCAATGTTTCTAGCTCTCTATCTCCCTCCTCTCCCTTCCTCTCAGTAAAAAATCAATAAAATATATTTAAAAATAAATAAATAAATAAATTCTCCATTAATTATGTGGAGGGCTGCAGGAGAGGCTCCTGTGAATCAGGCACATCCTAGTTATAACCCTGACACCAAACCAACAGGGAAATGGGGGCAGACACAGGCGGCGCTTCTTGGGCACTGTATGTAGATAGATGATGTGGTGTCTGGACCTCAGAACACCCTGCCTACTCAAGAGGCTGCGCCTCTTTCTGTCCCAGTAGTTCCATCTGTCCGCCTTCCCTGCCCTGCGCAGATATGTGGAGCCAGCAGCTCCAGAGAGGCCACTCCTGCTTGCTTCATTCTCTTTCCGGCCTGTCAAACCTTCCCACCAGGATCTCCTTCATCCACTCCTGACTACCCACATCCAGCACCACCCCCTGACCAAAGGTCCTAACGGGAGAGAGATGGGGGTCCTCTGCTCCCCACTTCCCACAACAGAAGCAGCTGTGGCACCCCAGTTCTCCACACAGCCCATCCTTGTCTGCCCTCCATGCTTTTGAGTGTGCCGCTTCCTCTACTGGGAAAACCCTCCCCTCCTTTCGGGGCAGCTTGAAGAGTCAGTTCAGACACAACTGAAGCCTTTCTTGATCTCTCACAGATCCTCACCTTGGTGGCTCACTGTTCCTCCGAGCTCTCATGATTCCCCCTAACCTGTTGACCTCTAATATGGCCCTTACCATATAACATTTAAATTATTGGTACAGCCGAAACCGGTTTGGCTCAGTGGATAGAGCGCCAGCCTGCGGACTGAAGGGTCCTGGCTTCAATTCCCATCAAGGGCATGTACCTTGGTTGCGGGCACATCCCCAGTGGGGGGCGTGCAAGAAGCAAGTGATCGATGACTCCCATCGATGTTTCTATCTCTCTCCTTTCCTCTCTGTAAAAAAAATCAATAAAATATATTTTTATAAATAAAAAATAGCCGAAGCCAGTTTGGCTCAGTGGTAGAGCGTCGGTCTGCGGACTGAAAGGTCCCAGGTTCGATTCTGGTCAAGGGCATGTACCTTGGTTGTGGGCATATCCCCAGTAGGGGATGTGCAAGAGGCAGCTGGTCGATATTTCTCTCTCATCGACGTTTCTAGCTATCTCTCTCCCTTTCTCTCTGTTAAAAATCAATAAAATATATCTTTTAAAAAATAAATAAATAAATAAATTATTGGTATATGTATATGTTTCCCTAATCTGACCGTGAGCTCTTCAAGGACAGGGAAGGTTCCAAGGTCAAGGACCATGTCTGTCATCTTTGGATCTGCAGCATGCACAGCGGGGAATGGCAGGCACACCGTGTACACTCCGTGTATACCACTTAGTAAACTAACTGCTCTGGCACTACTGAAAAGAACCCCGGTGGGTTCATCAGCTCAGGGCGCTGCAACAAAACACCACAGACCGGGCGGCTTTCACAACGGAAATTTATTTCCCGGAGGCTGGGAGTCCGAGATCAAGGCGCTAGCAAGGTTGGTGCCTACTGAGGCCTCTCTCCTTGGCTTGCAGATGGCAACCTTCTAGCTTGTCCTCACGCGTCCTTTTCCTCTGTGCTCATGTGGAGAGGGATCTGCTACCTCATCCTCTTCTCACCAGGATGCCAGTCCTCCTGGACTAGAGTCCTTCCCTTGTGACCTTATTTAACCTTAATTAGCTCCATAAAGGTCCTATCTCCAAATAAAGTCACCTTGAGTGCCTTGTGTGGGGCCTGGATGAGGTTGGTTGATCTATTTGGAAATGTCTTTTGTGTAAAGTGTATCTTTGGGCATGTGGAGGTATTATTGATATAAAAAAATGCTAAGTAACGGATTTACTATCTGAAAAGGGATTTACTATCGGGGAAAGGGAGGGAGGAAGAGACTGAACATAAACTGTGCACCAATGGATGAGGACAATGGGGGATGGGAAGGGGGTGGAGGGTGGGGTGGGAACCTGGTGGAGGGGGGAAGAAATGAGGAACCTTTGTAACAATATGAATAATAAAGATTGATTTAAAAACAAAAACAAAAAAAATAAAGTCACCTTGGGGGTTAGGGCTTCAACCAGTGAGTTTGGGGGTTGAGGGTACGGGGCGCATACAGTTTAGTCCATAACTACTGATGAACTTGAATTTGGAAGATAGGGGCTCGAGTACTGACTATACCTGAGCCTAACTGAGTGCTTTGGGGCAGCAAGCCCATGATCCTCAAGGAGCCCTAACTTCTCTATCTGTCACACGTGGCAACTTTCATGGGGTTGCTAAGAAGCTGAAATGAGCCAAAGCCAGTTTGGCTCAGTGGATAGAGCATTGGCCTGAAGACTGAAAGGTCCCAGGTTTGATTCCGGTCAAGGGCATGTACCTTGGTTGCGGGCACATCCCCAGTAGGGGGTGTGCAAGAGGCAGCTGATTGATGATTCTCTCTCATCGATGTTTCTAACTCTCTATCCCTCTCTCTTCCTCTCTGTGAAAAATCAATAAAATATTATTTTTTTTTAAGAAGCTGAAATAAGATCATGGCTGGAGGACATTTTATGGACTAAGTTCTTACACAATAATAACGACAATTACTCCTTCTACTAATATATCATGCCGTTTACAATGTGGTTTAAAATGCATAATATCATGCAACACACATGCAAGGAATTATTGTTGCTACAACGACCAGAGGAACACCTAAAAGGAAGTCTGTTGGTGATTCATATCCATCAATCCTAGTTGCAGAAAGGCTTCAAGGCAGCTTCTGACGAGAGCCGTGCCGGTGAAATGGCATGGTCTATGGCTTCTCACAGAGGCTGCAGAAAAAGCCCAGGAAGGCGTTGAAGAAATGAATGGCCACCAGGAGGATCTGGAGGATGCTGGTGCACAGAAGAGCGGAGAAGAAGGACACGTGCCAAACGACAGCTTTCGAAGGCTCCAGGCAGACGGAGTTCCAGAGGGAATGGTCGTATAAATAATTCCTGTTCCCAGAAACAGAGGGACAGGAGTTGAGGAACAAGTAAGAGATGTCAAATAAGCAACCTCAACAGACAGCAGGGCCTCCCCAGCTCAGGCCACAAGCCTAGACTCATTCTTGAGGGTGACTATTGGTGCTGCACTTGCAATGTTTGAGCATCAGAGGAATGAGGAGCTAGAATGCATCACCCAAAGAGAAACCAAAGGAGTTTGTGGTTTCTCTCTTTTTCTCTCTTTCTTTCTCTCCCACTCTCCTTCCCTCACTCCTCCCCATCTCTATATCTCTTTCTCTGAAAAGGCTGAAAATCCATTCAAGCCTCCACACACTTACCTGTTGGATAGGCCTTTGAATGGGTAACCATATTTCCAAGCTTGCGTCTGGTTGAAGGATGAGACATCGAACATGCAAAATGGGCCATCTTTCAGGGCTACTCCGGAAGTAATAAAGCAAATCAAGGCTCCCAGCAAAGCCAGGCCACTTGATAATAGAGCAGCGAGCATCTTCAGAGGGAAAGAAAAAATAGTGAGCCCTCGCTGACATGGATCCGTGGTTAGAGCATCAGCTGCCACCCGGAGGGTAGCGGGTTAAATTCCAATCAAGGGTATGTACTTGTTCGGCTCAATGGATAGAGCGTCGGCCTGTGGACTGAAAGGTCCCAGATTTGATTCTGGTCAAGGGCATGTACCTTGGTTGCAGGCACATCCCCAGTAGGGGATGTGCAGAAGGCAGCTGATCAATGACTCTCTCTATCATCCATGTTTCTAACTCTCTATCCCTCTTCCTCTCTGTAAAAAAATCAATAAAATATATATATATATTTAAAAAGGGTATGTACTTGGGATGCAGGTTCCCCATTCCCCACCCTGGTTGAAGGAGCATGTGCTGGAGGCAACCAATTGATGTGGCTCTCTCACATCAATATCTCTCTCCCCCCCCCCTCTCTCCCCTCTCTCCCCCACTCCTGTTCCTTTCCACTCTCTCTAAAATTAATGGAGAAAATGTCCTCCAGTGAGGATTAACAAAAAAAGAAAAAGAACCAATGAGTCTGAGATGGGGTCGTGCCTAGGTGACTTGTGGGCCACCTGGAAAGGTCTCAGGTGCTCAGGCTTTCTCTGTGATAGCACATGGGGCTACGCCTACCCATGGCACCTCCTTGAAAGCTTGCCCAAGGGAGGGTGGCTGAGGAGGGGTCACAGGGTAGAGCTAGGAAGGGGTGGAAGAGGAAGAACTGAGAAGGGGAAACACTGGCCCTTGAACCTGGATCACCCTGTGTCAGCAGGCTCTTGGGAACTTCCCAACAGGTTGGCTTCAAACACTTTTAAGCTCAGCCCTGACTGGCGTGGTTCCATTGGTTGGAGCATCGTCCAGTAAACCGATTGTGGGTTCAATTCCCTGTCAGGGCACATACCTAGGCTGCGGGTTTGATCCCCGGTTGAGCATGTATAGGAGGCAACTGATCAGTGTTTCTCTTTCACATCTTTCAGTGTTTCACACACAAAACTTTCAAGCTCAGCCTTCAGTCATTCAGCCTCTGAGTTAAAGGGTCAGAGTGTCGTTTGCCCTCTTCAGACTCTTTTAAGGCAAAGCTGTATTTTCTCCCATCCCACCCCTGACTCCAGTCTTTTTCAAATCCAGCATGAAAGGAAGGGAGAGGGGAAGCAGGGAAGGAGGCAGAGAGGAACAGAGAAGAGAAACCAAGACAGAAGTAGCAGTCAGCTCTGAAATGACACCAGTCTGTCGCTGCACTTTTCTCTTTCTCCCGAAAGGTCACGATGAGTTTATTTTCTCGGAAGGATTTTAGCTTGCTCCCAGATTGTCTTCTTTCCCAGGATATTAAATATTTTATTCTCCTTTCCAAAGAACACGTATTTTAAAATTACAAAACACACATATAAATAGTTTTTATACAGAATCAGAGTGATTTCCCCACTGAGGTCAAGCTGGTTTGAAGCTTGGGAGGGCACAGAGAAAGGTTTTGTTTGTTTCTAGTTTTTATCGATATTAGAGAGTGTAAAGGAGTGAAGATGGGGAAAAAGGGAAGAGAGAGGGAGGGAGGGAAGGAAGGAGGAAGGGAGGAGGATGGCGGGAGCGGGGGGAGAAAGAGAGAGAGAGAGATTTTTATTGTTCCACTTATTTTATGCACTAACTGGTTGATTCTGTTATGTTCCCTGACCTGAGATCAAACCCCACAGCCTTGGTGTGTCAGGATGATGCTCTAACCAACTGAGCAACCCAGGCGGGGCCAGGCGCGTAGTCAGCTTTGACTCTTTAAGTTAAAAGATTCAAGATTAATTACTCTAGGACAATAATTCTCCAAATGTGGTCCCTGTCCCAGCAGCATCAGTCACCTCACCTGGAAACTTGTTAGCAATGCACATTTTCCCTCTCCACCCCAACGACCTACTGAATCAGAAACTCTGGGGGTGGGACCCAGCAACCCATGTTTTAACAGAGCTTGCTAGGATTCTGGGTGTATGCTCAACCTGAGAACCATTCTCTCGGGGGAAAACCGACGTGGCTGAGAACAGATAGTGAATAAAACGTGTGCGTTTATATTTAATTCTTTACCATGTAATTCTGAATCAGGGGGTTCCCAACATATGGGTGGCAGATACCAAAGCAGGCTGTGGAGTTACTGTAAGGAGGCCACCAATTCAGGTGTCTGAGAGTGAATAAGCAACATACTGTGCAAGAAAACTGAGAGTTTTAAAATAAATATAGATGCTATTGTAATTAATAAAGTGCAAATATATTTGGGCCTCACTTTCATTATCTGTAAAATGGAGAGGTTAGACTAGAATCTAGTCCTTAGATGATCTCTGGAGAACCTTCCAGCTCACAGAAAAATTAAACAAATTGGCAAGAAATTTTCTTTCAAAAACACATGATTACACCCTAGCTGGCTTGGCTCAGTGGATAGAGTGTCGGCCTGCAGATTGAAGGGTCCCTGGTTCATTTCCAGTCAAGGGCACATGCCCGGGTTGCAGGCTTGATCCCCAGTGTGGGGCGTATAAGAGGCAGCCAATCAACCATTCTCTCTCATCATTGATGTTTCTATCCCTCTGCCTCTCCCTTCCATTCTGAAATCAACAAAAACCTATTAAAATTATAAAACAACAACATGATTGCAATGTACATAACTCATGTCCATATTGTTCAATAAGCTGAAAAATTAATAATGACAGTTCTCGCATTTGGATAGACATTTATGGTTCATCGCAACATTCATGGCTCATTAAATAACAGGGTCATTGACTTGATTCTGCTAACTCCCGTTTTACAGATGAGGACCCGAGGCTCAGAGAAGTTAACCAACTTGCCCAAGAGCTTAGGGCAATCAAGAGGCAGGATCAGGACCTGACTTCAAACCCCAAGACCAAAACTGCCTTTCTGCCAGGCGGCCTCTGAAGTCACGGGACATGGGGGCGTTCTGGGTATGAGAAGAGTGAAGTCTGGTGCTTACGCTTCGGCAGGGCCCACTCTTACTGAAGCAGCCACGTCTCCAGCCCATCAGGGAGATGAGGGCGGCTGCCATGAGAACCTGGGAGAGGAGAAAGAGCGTTAGGGCGAGACTGGTGATTTACACTCTTGCCGCCACCTGCGGCCGTTGAACTGGCGTGGCTGGCCACCTCACGTGGACTTGGTTATCCTCTCTTTCCCAAGGGGCTTTGGTTGTGCCTGTCAGGACCCGGTTTTGGATGACTAGCCTGACCTGACTCTGTTGATGGCAATGTTCACACCAAGTATGTTCACACCTTGTCCAAAATTCAGCTATTCTTTCTAGACAATTCTATCCCTTCGAGTTGCTGTAGACTCAAGACTAGCTTGTTATAGATCAAAGCTGTTTTTTTTTTTAACAAGGAATCAGAACACTCCTCCCCACCCACTCCCTGCTTCATCCCTGGGGGCACTTTGGCAGTTCACACTAAGAGAACCCAGGACACTTACCAGGAGGCCTCCTCCCCAGAGCCCAGCGCCCAGCATGGCGTGCTTGCCAATGAGGCCCCTTCTCAGGTAGGTCACATCCCAGTCAGGAAGGAGGAGCACCGTGTTGGCCGCAGCAGCAAACAGGGCTGTGGTCCCGAGGCTGAGCCCCAGGATGCGGGAGCAGGTCCGTGAGCAGGCCATCGTGCAGGGAGCGGACAGGGTCCTGGGACGATGGAAGCAGGGCGTGGTAGCTCTGCTACTGGGAGCATGGGGTGGGGAAACAGGCTCAGATTCTGTCACCTCTCAGAGTCAGACACGCTCATACACATGTGCTCCTGAAAGAAGCCAGAGACAAAGACTACTCACTGTATGATTCTGTGTATATGAAATTCTAGAAAAAGTAAAACTAGTGACAGAAAGCAGATCCATGGTTGCCAAGTTCTGGGAATGGAAGAGGGAATTAATATAAGGAACATAGGAAACTTTCCGAGGGGATCAAAATGTTCTAAATCTAGATTCTGCTAGTAAATACACAGCTATATGTATAGACAAAACTCATCTAACTACTCTGAAAATTAATGAATTTTATTATATTTTAATTATATATATCAATGAAACTGATTAAAAATTAAAATGTTATGTCTATGTAGGTTATAAAATATCTCCCCCATACCTTTACTTATAGCCATTACAATCTTCTATATTTCCACTGATATGTGAACTTCTTGTGTGTATGTATATATATATATGAAATAGAATAGGACTAGTAATATTAGGGTAAACTCACATCAATATGGATCTGAAAAAAAGTCAACATCATGACTTTCTCAAGAAGTGACCTGTTGCCACTTTATATTCAGTTACATGTCTGTCTCACTTTACGGGTCTTGACACTCTTCTCTAAGAAGTTTTGCACATAATATTTTTTAAATGTATAAATCATTCTCTCTCTCACACACACACATATACATACACATATAATAAAATAGTTTATATATAATAAAATAGTTCACATACATATACCTATACATACACATATAATAAAATAAAGAATTAAACACAATGTATCCTAACAAATAAAAACCCAGGGTCTATAACATTCAAAATGACCAAAGGCTCAACTAACCGGAAGTCAGTCCTGCAGGCAGTGCTGGGTTGCCACGGTGACCCAGCACTGACTGCTGAGGGGGCTGCAGATCAGGCCTGGAGAGAGAAACACGGTCTGATCCATAGCCTCTGTGGCAGCCCCTGTTGATCAGCTCTTGCCTCTCTCTTTCTCTCTGGGCCTCCATGGGGGCTGCTGATCAGCCCCACCTCTCTGATCAGGCCCAGAAATAGGCTCAAAGATCCTGACTGGCATTGAAACCGACCAATCAGAACCTAGTCTGGGTGAACTGCAAATGCAGAACCTAAGGTGGGGGCTGAGGAGGGGTTTTAAGGGAAACAGCTGTTTGGCATAAGGTGTAAAAAAGTGGTTCAATTTTTAATGACCGGTTTGGCAATATAATGCATATGGCTGGCTATCAGCCCAGATAGGGAGATGTATCTCCTCCTGCTTAAAAGGCTATCCCACCCCCACCCCACATTTAAGCAATCCTGTCCTATATAATCTATCTATACTAATAATCTATATTAATAAAAGGGTAATATGTTAATTAGACCGGGTTGATTGGCCATCTTCCGCACATCTGACTTCCTTCCGGACAAAGCCATGGTGGTGGAGACTGAGGCAGAGAGGGTAGTTGGTGGTGACGAGATCAGGCCAGCAGGGGAGGGCAGTTGGGGGTGATCAGGCAGGCAGGGGAGAGCAGTTGGGGGCAACCAGACTGGCAGGGGAGGGCAGCTGGGGGTGAGATCAGGCCAGCAGGGGAAGGCAGTTAGGGGCAATCAGGCAGGTAGGCAGGTGTGCTGTTAGGAGCCAGTGGTCCCAGATTGTGAGAGGGATGTCCCCCAAGGGGTCCCTAATTGGAGAGGGTGTAGGCTGGGCTGAGGAAATCCCCCCTCCCATATACGAATTTTGTGCATCTTGGCCACTAGTATGATATATTTGTATTTGTAAGTTATATGGGATAATTCAACAACACTCATGTAAATACAACAGTTTACAAATAGGTCATTACTGCTAATTATTATGAAGCCCCACATGTGCCCTCTCTGATCCTACCATCTCCCTGGATCCCTTCCTAGAAATGACTACCCTAAACTGACGTTCATGGTAGAGAGACAGACGCCAGACAGAGCACTGAGTGGGGCTCTTGATTGGGGGATGCCCCTGCCCTTCTCCCCGCTCCCCAGCCCGCAGCCCTTGGTGACCTTTGCTTCCCCTAACCTCGGAGCCCAAGCTCCTCTCCGGGCTCCTGCCAAGGGGAAGTTCCTGTTTCGGAGGCATTTGAGTTTCAGTGTGATGAGTTGCCTTCACCAAGTGTCCTCTCCACGGGGTCTTCGCTCTCTGCGCCTTGTTTCTCACAGTGAATGGAATGATTTGTCTCTTTTGAGAGTTCCGATTTCAGCGGAGAGGGGCTTGTGATGGGGGCGTTTGGGATAGGCTATGGATACAAGGAACCTGACAGGAAGGGTGCAGACCAGGGACCAGGAGAGATGATGTGTTCTGTCTCCTCCCCTCTCCCCTAGCGGACCCATCACAGGACACCTCTTTTCCTGACTTGGGCCCCCCCAGTGCCAGCTGTTCCTCCTCGGGTCCGGGGGTGAAGAGCCTGCCCTGCTGTCAGAGGGCCGGGCCCCTATAGGATAACAGCCCCCCTCTGACACACACACAGTTTGGGATGCAAGTGTGTGTCTGGACAACATCCCTCCCCAGGCTGTCTTGTCACCGAGAGCCGGGCTCTCAGTGTGTGTCTGTTCGAGTGAATTCGTCAATTCGGGGGGGACGGGAGGAGTTAGCAAGTAACAGCTTTCTCCCACACCCCACCCAGATGACGTTTTGTCAAGGGCCCCAGTGAGGATGGTGTGTGGTTGGACTTTCAAGCATGCTCTCCAGACCAGCTGGGGAAAGCTTTTCTTGGGGAATGCCTTCAGCTGCCTTCGAATCATTCCACCTCTGAGGAAGGCCTGCCTAGACCAGATCACCAACATAACCGCCCCCTGGCCATCCCTGCAATGTAAAATTTTCCTGTCAGGGAAGTTTCAGAAGGGAAACTAAAGAATCTGGACATGCAGAGGGAAAACTAAGACGCTGAGGCTGGCCTCTGGAGGAGTGGAAATCAGAGGATCCTGGCTGACCTTACGCCTACAGGATTTACTGCGATGCTCCGTCCAGGAGGGCCAGGCCTTCGATGGAATTTCACTTTCTTTCTTGTTTTCCTAGAAACCGCAACATTCTGAGAAATGCTTCCAAAAATGCGAGCCAGGAGATTAGCCAAGAGGTTGGCTCATTTGCTATCTGAAGGGACGAGCAGGATCCTTAGGTAAAACCTTAAAATCGGGCTTTAGGGGAGGCTGTGTTCCCACCGGAGACGCCGGCTGGGTGAACGGATCCCGGGCTGGATGTCTGGGCAACAATATAAGGATCAACTAAGTCCTTTGGAGGAAGGGACTGCCAGTTCTCTGTGTGTCTGTCTGCCTCCTTCATCCGCCAGGCTTCTCTTCCATTCCTTCATGATCAGTCAAATATTCAGGGGACCACTTTCTGTGAGGCACTATGCCAGGGGTTAGGGGTACAAGGGTGACTCTGATACAGTCTGTTCTCTTGAGGAACTTCAGGTCCAGTGGGGGCACTGACAAGGCCATCAGCAAGTGCCGAGCAGAGGTGTCCACCTCACGGTGTGATGGGGAGCTCCTGGAGGGATGCTGCTCTGCAGACGTGAGGCAAAACCTCCCGGGCAAGTGCCGTCCACGCTACACTTGACTGACAGCAGGCTTCGACAGGCCACGCTGGGAAGGGGAGAGTGTGGGAAGCACGAGTAAAGGCCCGAAGCTGACAGAGAGACTGAGGCAGAGAGAAGAGGAATTACCTGACGTCGCACAACTGCTCAGTGGCAGAGCCAGGGCTGCTTGGAGCGCCCTGACCCCCTAGGCCACACTGTTCCCTGGCCATTACCTCACTGGGCCCTTTCGTTCCTACTTACCTGCATCCCGAGGCAACAATCAGGAGGGGAGAGAGAGAACCGGGAGACGGGCTCCGGGCTCCGTCTTCAGAGCCGGCCTGCCTCCTGCCAGCTCCAGTCGGACTCCTGCAGGGCCCCTTCCTCCCTGGGGTGGCCAGGGCAGCTCTGTATATATGGAGAGGTTGCCCAGGCAATGTGTGTGTGTGTAGGGGGGGGTGCCCCCACACCACCGCCCATGCGCTTCCTTTGAAGGAACTGTCCTCTGCCTGGAGAGCCCTCTCCTGATGACCCACCCATTGCTCATTTTCATGTGACCCTAGGAAAGGAAACGGGAGGCATGGCCTCATGAGCTAAAGTGTCCTAATGAGTCAGAGGATGCACCCGTGAGAAATATCTTTTCTTTTCTTTTTTTTTTTTAAGAATACTTTATTAGCCGAAACCGGTTTGGCTCAGTGGATAGAGCGTCGGCCTGCGGACTGGAGGGTCCCAGGTTCGATTCCGGTCAAGGGCATGTACCTTGGTTGCGGGCACGTCCCCGGTGGGGTGTGTGCAGGAGGCAGCTGATCAATGTTTCTGACTCTCTATCCCTCTCTCTTCCTCTCTGTAAAAAAAACAATAAAAAATATATTTAAAAAAAATAAAAGAATACTTTATTAGTTTCGGTAATCAAACCCATGTAGAGAAATATCTTACTTTCTCTTCTTTCCCAAGCAGCAACACTGCCTCACACACCAGCTGCCCGGATCTGCGTCACTCAGTGCGGAATTTGGGCTCTTTGGAAGAGCAGGCCTGAGCAGAAAGGCCACCATTTTCTCTTTGCCACCCTCTTTGCTTTGCTCTTAGCTCATGGGGTGTGTTCAATAGCTCCTTTATTTACATGGTGCCTTCTAACATTTTTGTTCAAGTCCCAGGTCTTTGTAGTGCCGTCACACCAGACTGCTGAACACATACTTGGTGGGAGATCTGTGACCTCTGCCCCTATTTTTAAGATTTAAAAAAATAATTTTATTATGAGGGCAATCTATAAGAAATAAGAAAACCTTCACCATAATATATTTTTTAATCCTTACCTGTTCATTGATTTGTTGAGAGAGGGGAAGGAAGAGAGAGAGAAATATCAGTGTAAGAGAGATACACTGACCCATTGCTTCTTGCGCCCAACCTAAGTACGTGCCTTTACTGGGTTTTGAAGCTGCCACACTGGTCAGAGCACCATAATCTTTTTATAAAATGATTT